TACAGGCTCCCATTCTTCCCTGTGACACTTCCCAGAAATGGCCTGGGAGCCCTGCATTCAATGCTGAAGACGTGCGACAGAAACAACAGAATGGGAAAAGCCAGATCGGTACACAAATAAAAAATCAGTGTCTCTTATTGCTTCCTGATTGCATATGAAATGAATCACAAGGTTATAAGTTAAGAATTCTCATGGCCAGAGGTCACAGCCTTCTTCCCACCCCACCTGTGGGGCTGGCTGCTGCAGCTCCAGATGATGGACACCGCAAGGGGGAGAAAGGACCAGGGGCCAGAGCTCGTAGCGAGAGAGGGGACCGAGTCCCTCTTCCCTTTGGAGGAAGGGACCTGGGCCCGAACGCGCGGCAAGCTGGAGAAAGCAAGGTCAGAGCAGGAGCGGCCAGCCGAGGGCCGAGAGGCCAGCGGCCAGTTGTCTTTCAAGGGAAAATAAATGTCCCATTTCTACTCTACGGCGATTTCGTGAAGATGGGCTAGAGAAGGATGCCTGCCATTCTAGAAGGGACACAGGTGCTTGCGTGTAAAACCTGAATGATATATTCTGTGCACAAAGAGATTTAGAAATCAAGCCTTGGGAAAGAAACACAAAGAAGAGAGATTAAAATGTTTAAAATGTCAACCTCGAATGGCAGATTTATAGAGATTTTAATCTCGTTTACACGTTTTGTTTTTTTCGAGTTCTCTACACTGATAATGTGTTTCTTTGATAATTTTTTTAAAAGCTATTTTAAATCCTTGTATTATAATTTTTAAAAGATGTAAAGAAACAACAAAAAAACCCTTAGGAAAAGCTGAAATGTTTGTTTTGTAACAGAAATCACGTTTAGAACACTTTTAAAAAAATCTTTTTCAGTGGATGGAAAACATGACAAATTGTATGAGAGAGGACATGGTCGTCAGTGTGTATATCAGATGTAGAAGGCTATTTCTAAAAAACACTCTCTCAGGAATGTGTTTATGGGTCAGGCTCTTGACTCACATTTTCGCTGATTTTAGAGTAAAATAATCGAATCCTATAAATTGGTCTAAACGTTGTTTTAGGCAACAGACCAGTTTTTTTGTTTGTTTGTTTTTGTTTTGTTTGTTTATTTATTTATTTGGTATCATTAATCTACAATTACATGAAGAACATTATGTTTACTAGGCTCCCCCTTCACCAAGTCCCCCACACATATCCCTTCACAGTCACTGTCCATCTGAGTAGTAAGATGCTGTAAAATCACTACTTGTCTTCTGTGTTGTAGAGTCGGCCCTGTACCCGCCCCCCCCCCACATTATACATGTTAATTGTAATGTGCCCTTTGTTTTTCCTTGCCCTTATCCCTCTCTTCCCACCCATCCTCCCCAGTCCCTTTCCCTTTGGTAACTGTTAGTCCATTTTTGGGTTCTCTGATTCTGCTGCTGTATTGTTCCTTCAGTTTTTCTTTGTTCTTATACTCCACAGATGAGTGAAATCATTTGGTACTTGTCTTTCTGCACCTGGCTTCTTTCACTGAGCATAATATCCTAACAGACCAGTTTTTATACTGAATATTTATATGTCAAATAATATTTTCATTCCATTGGGGAAGGACCAATGGACTTAGAGAAACTTAGAGGGACTTAAAGGAACTATAGAGGTGAAGAGAAAGATGAAAATGAGTATCTATTGACTATTTACATAATCAGGGGCCAGGGCTGCAGGTGCTGGGCACACGGGGCGCTTTACATTTAGTGTCATTTATTCTTCACTATAACTCATCAAGGTGGGTTTCAGGAAACTGAAGTTCAGGTTGAATACCTTGTCTCAAGTCACATAGGAAACAAGTAGGATCTGAGTCCAAGACTGTTTTGGGTCTGAAATCCACACTCTTGCCACACTTAAAAAAAAATCTGTAAGCTAAATAGTTACATTCTCTTCCCTCCCCCAAATACCTGCTGTAATACTGTACTTTTGTCTTAATTTTCAAAATCTGATTCTTTCTGTCCTTCTATTTCCAAGTACTGTGGATACAAATATCCAGCATCCCAAGAAAAATGAGAGAGAAATTACCAGAGACCAGGATAATCAACTTAAAATGTAGAATTGAATTATTTTCAATAGAAGTAAGTCCAGTTTTAAGGAAAAGTGCTTAGTCTGTCCTTGCTTCACTGCTGCTCATTCTGTTCTTGTGAACCTCTTCCCCCAAATCCATACTGAGATCCCGATTTTATGTCAGGGCTTGTTTTGCACTTTATATGTGTAAAGCAGATAGCTAACAGTGTCGCAATTCAAACAATGACAGCATTTTGTTGGAAACAGATGTCAAAATGTTAGTTCTTGCCCATCTTCACGGCAGCATTTTTATGAAGATCAATTTACTCACCTGGCTGACAAAATGCTCTTTCCTCACATGCCTGGAAATGTACCTTATGGAATCAGCAGCCTTTTCCAAGAAAGCAGCCAGAACTTTCTCCCCATCACTAATCTGCATCTGCTGCTTTTTCTCTGGGACTCTCCCTTTCACGGCGGGCTGACTCTCCTCTCCATCCGGGAAAGGGTAGCGATCCCCGTGGTCCTTCATGCAAAGTAATTTTGGGAGTTTCTGCAGAAAGAGCCTCTTCACCCAGGGCGCCACAGGGTGGTAGGTTGGGGAAGATCTGTGGTGAACATTAATTACGAAAACAGTAACAATGATGGACAGCGTGACGAAAATCATAATGAACAGCAGGTATTCACCGATGAGAGGGAGGACCTTGGAAGAAGATGGGATTATTTCCTCAATGACTAAAAGAAAAACCGTCAGGGAAACCAAGACAGAGGTTGACAAGGAAAGTTTTTCTCCTTCATCGGACGGTAAATAGAACACGAGAACTGTCAGAAAAGACAGCCCCAGGCAGGGGATTATCAGAAAGAGGGTGTAGAACAGCGGCAGGCGCCTCAGGACGAAAGAGTAAGTGATGAATGGGTAGGAGTATACACCGTCTCTTCTGTTCCCCTTCACCCCCTTTGCATTGAGGATTTCCCACTCTCCATTATCAAAGAAGTCTTTTCTGTCAACATTTTCATTTATCAAAACAAGGTCAACCATGGTCCCATCGTAAGTCCAAGACCCGAACCTCATGGAGCAGTTCTGCCGGTCAAACGGAAAGAAGGTGACGTCCATGGTGCAGGAGCTTTTGTAACTTGCAGGTGGGGTCCAAGTGACGGTCCCGTTCCATCCCACGATGGCCTTGGTCATGAGGGAGCCTTCGAAGCGGCCATCAGCACTGGAGTAGAAGTTTCATTCTCAATGGTTACTTGAACACATATTAATTAGATTTTTTTTTCCCACCACCGTTGTATTTGTTTTTAATTATCACCTTCCTACAAAAGTGTCAAACAATATTTCAAAAGAAACAATTCCCTTGCTACCTAAAGTTGTAGCTTTCTTTAATTACTTTGCCCAAATCAGGCTTTTCTATTTCTAGTCCCAATCTGACCATGTATTTTTCTTCTAGAATACTTACTTTTCAAGGAGAACAATGTCAGGAAGCCAGAGAGATTCTGAGGGGACTTTAATTGAACGAATTCCACCATACTCAGGAGGGTTCCAGCGTAATTTGTAGTCTATCCATTCCTGCATAAATTAGAACACTGTGATTTCACCCTGAAAATTCAAACTGTTAGATTTGGAATCTCCAAGTTTATGTTAATTTACTAATCCAGTGTTTTATTTAAAAAGGGAGATTCATCCACTTAAGAACTTACAACCATTTAGGTAGCTCAGTACAGTTGGAAAGATACAACCTGCCTGTCCTCTGATTTTACACAGGCCCACACTGGTCCTGTCTGGGATTTCCAAAATTGCTGTATCTACCTCCCAAAATAAGGCTCGGCAAGAAATGCCGCTGATTCACGAGTTTGTTTTTTCAGCCTATTTTCTCTTAAGAAACAAAAGAAAAAAGCAATGATAGAGCTAACTTGGTTTATTCTACGAGAGTTGGTCCAGTGATATTTTAATCTCAAGGTAATGGGTACAAATGATTTTGAATGTCACTGGAGAATCTCAGACAAACATCCACCCGGTATGTTAATATGAAACATCCAGTATCTACTGACTGCTCTTGATGACATTAAAACTTCAACAGAATGAAGAAATATTTTCCAAGAGTCTCCTTTTAAATTCTAATCTGAATTTAAGCACCCAATTACAGTTTTAAGTTATATTCCTAATATCGTTAGCTGCAAATACTTATATATTTTTCCCTATAATAGGATGAAATAATTTAGCATGTTTTATAGGAACGGATGGGGCACTAGGTTAACAAACCTGACCATTAATTGACTGGATTATGAATGTCAAGAGGATGATGCATGGATGACCTAATTATAGCAGAAGATGGGGTTTCTTAAAAAGATTTGGACCCAGAACTTATGAAATCAGACCTGAAAATTAAAATCTTCTATTCTACTGTCCCTCAGGTGGACAGCTGAGCAATGACAGATGATATTAAATGACATTTCAGAAGTTAGAAGGGCAAGCCTAGTGGGAGGCTTCCTGGAATCCAGTTATGCCAACTTCGTCATTAAACAAAATCAGGAGTCAGCAGATGGATGATTCCACTAGTGGATGAAATACTGAAATATGCATGAGCACCTGAAAGATGATGGAACTGTACACTCCAGATGAGACATATTCTACCTTGGGCAATATTTGTGAGGCTTGATCCTTAAAAAATTGAAAAGGATGCAGGTTTTTTTTTTGGGGGGGGGTGAAAGAATTATAAACAACTTTATTTTCAGGTGGCAGGTTATTCACTAAAAGCCTGCTCACTCAGAGCCAGTCTGCATGTAGCAAGCTGGTCTCTGCCTCTGGGCCCCTCTGCACAGCCGTACTCTGGGCCTCTCTGCACAGTCGTCCCACACAGCCATCCTCTGGGCCTCTGTTCTCAGAGGATGCAGGTTTTTAATAGCTACAATTGAAAAGATAAAAAATTGCATGACTGTTTAGAGAAAACGATGCATGTGAAGACTGACAGTTTAAGAGCCCACACTAACAAAGTATTTACCATGTTTACTTGGTACTCTGCAGCTTCTCTTTTTGCCTCTTCCTCTGCCCATTTTGAAAAGCAAAAATAATTTCCTTCCTATGAATAATTTGTCTCCTGCTAAGGAGACTTTTACTAGCAGCAGCAGGTCTGAATCTGAGACATGTTGAAGGGAACTCAGAGTAACATTTTCTGTTTGTTTCGCTCTCACTTCATTTACGTTTAAGAATTGACTTAAAGCTCACTTTTTGTGGGCAGTTCTTTATGCAAACAATAGTATAACCACTGACACCATCAAGATACCAGATCAGCTTTGTTGCCCCCCAGTTTTCCTGGTGCTGCTCCTTTACAATCAACCCCATCCAAATCCCCACCTCTTGGTAACCCCTGATCTATTTTCTGATCCTATAATTTTGCCTTTTACTTATCTAATGCATTTTGGATTCTTCTATCATAGTACCTATTATATTAGTAGATCACTCACTTTTGTTAGTGAGCAGTATTCCATTGTGTGACCATACCATGACTTTTCTATCCATGAATTCCACTGTATGATTATACCATGATTTATTGATCACCAAGTAGGATATTTGGACTCTTTCCAGTTATTAACGATTATAAAGCCACTACGAACATTTTGTACAGTTTTTTTGGGCAAAAAATCTTTTCTCTTGAGTAAATACCTAGGAGGAGGATGGCTGTGACATATGGTAAGTGTGTGCTTAACTTTCTATGAAACTGTCACACTGTGCTGCCAAGTGGCTGTATCATTTTGACTTCCCCACATCAGTGTATGAGAGCTCCGGTTATCTGGCATCTTCTGCAGTACTTGGGATTGTCACATTTTTTATTTTAACTGTGTTGTAATCGCTGCCATGTGGTATCTCATTGTGGTGTTTGACCTAAGTATGCCTAATGGCTCCTGACACAGAGCATCTCTTCCTGTGCTTATTTGCCAGCCATCTATTTTTTTTGGAGAAGTGGCTGTTAAACCTTTTGCATATTATTAAATTGGGTTGCTTGTTTTCTTATTACTGAGTTTTTAGAATTCTATATATATTCTAGGTAAAAGCCCTCTGTCAAATATTTGATTTGCGAATATTTTCCCCACAGTCTGTGGTTTCCTAATTCATTAAAGATTGTCTTTTACAAGACAGACATCCTAAATTTTGATGAAGTTTAACCAACTTTGTCTTGTATGGATTGTGTTGATTTTAAGAAATTTTTGCCTAAGATTTTCTTAGAAATCTTAAGATTTCTCCTAGAAATTTTATAGTTTAAGGTTTTACATTTAGGTCCAAGATCCATTTTAAGGTAATTTACTACAGTGTGAATGTGGGTTAAAGTTGGTTTATTTTGCACATAGATGTCCAATTGTTCCAGCACTTTTTGTTGAAAAGACTAAACATTTTCCACTGAATTACCATTGCACATGTGCCAAAAATTGACTAACCATGGCTGTGTGTGGATCTATTTATGGGCTTTTTGTTCTGTTTTATTCATCTCTTTGTCTTTCTTTTCTCAACACCACACTGTCTTGATTACTGTTGCTTTCTAGAAGTTTGGAAATCACATCATATTTGCCCCTTAACTATATTCTCCCTTTTCAAAAATGTCTTGGCCATCTGGTTCCCATGCTTTTCCATGTAGCTAAACATGTGTTGCCATCTGCAAAAATTTCCTGCTGAAATTTTAACTGATAGATTTGATTTGGGGAGAACTGACATCACAACAGCGACTTTTTGGACCCAGAAATGTAACTTCTCTCTCCATTTATTTAGTCATCTTTGATGTTTTCTAATCAGTGTTTTCAAGTTCCAGACCACTCACATATTTAATTAGATTTATACCTAAGTATTTCATGTTTTGTAGATGCTCTGGTAAATGTACTTTGAAATTCAAAAATAAAGTTCAATTGTGCATTGCTAGAACTTGAACATACAATTGACTTTTGTATATTGACCTTGTATGTATACTGCTTGGTTCATTTAGCTTTAGCTTTTTCTGTGTGTAGATTTTCTACTCAATTATGTCATTTGCAAATAGTTTTATTTATTTATTTCCAATCTGAATGCCTTTATTGTTTTTCTTTTCTGTATTTCACTGGCTAGGTCCTCCAGTATGATGTTAAATAGGAACAGGAGGGCAGATCTACTTGCTTGATCCTAGGCAGAAAGCATCTGCCTGTTCACCATTATTATGTTAGCTGTTAGTTTTCTGTAAATGCCTTGTATTTGGTTAAGGAAGATCCTTTGTATTTCTAGTTTGCTGCAATTTATTTTTTTTTAATCATGAATGGATACTGAATTGGGTAAAAAGCTTTTCAGCATCTATTGAGATGATTTTCTTTATTCTTCTTCTTTTGCCTCTTAATAAGATGAATTACACTGATTGATTTTCAGATGTTGAACCAGCCTTGCATTCTTGAGACCCACCCCACGAGGCCATGATGTCTTACAGCTTATATAATACTTTTTCTACCTGTATCAGGACTAAGATGTAGACATCTAAAATGGGGATGTGTTGGCAAGAAGGTTATTCCTCTAGTGGCTCTCCCAATGTTATTTGAATTGAAATCAAAATACAGTTGAGGTTTCCTTGCAAAGACACGAAGGCAATGAGATGGATGGCATGTACCTTTGTGCTTTTAATACTGATGCATTTAAAAAAAAATTCTTGCTTGTAAGAGTGAAAAATACATTCTAATAATTCACTACCTACCTAATATAAGTCTGGGTTAATTATAGAGAGGAAAACAACCCATATATTTCCCTATTTACAGTGTGAAATGCTTTTTACTTTGCTTTGGGAAATGTTTATGTGTATACGGTTATTTAAATAAAACTGTGGCATTCTTTAAAAATCTACTGTTTTGGTTACTAATAATGGCCATGCTGATAGTAAAGTAATAAAAGTTAACTTTATTGAGGGCTGATGATGTGCCAGGCATTGACCTGTTTTATAATTCTAATTTTTTCCATGACCTACAAGTTACTTATTATTATGCCATATTAGATGAGGCAATGTGGCTCTGAGAGTTCAAGTACCTTATCTAGAATCACAGCCAGTCAGCAAAGGAAACAGGATTTGAGGCTGCTGCATGTGACTGAGTAGCTGTGCAGTAACAACTCCAGGAGAGGCCATTCCCATCGACTATGTATGAATGGCGCTCCCTGCAGGTGTGCAGCCCAGTGGTGGTAATGGTGTGCAAGCCAATGTGGGTGGAAAGCCGTGTCCTGCCCTCTTTGCCCTCTCCCCATGCTGCCTTACGGTGGAAAGACTTACGGTCTGACATTCTTCAAAACTTTGTTCTTACCATGGTTTCAGTGCCTCTGGTCTCATGGGTATTTCTAAAGCCTATAGACCTTGTGCTCACTCTAGAACAGCCTATTCCATCTCCTCTCTAAAAAAAAAAATAGCAACAGCAGTAAACACAGAAAATCTGGCCTTCCTCAGAAAATATAAAAAGCTACAGAATTAAACAAATAAACAAGTTACGCTGTATCCAAGTTCAGTGATAAACACTGGGAGAGAATTACGGGATAAAGATGAACTATGTAACAGGAGCCTACAGCTGACTTCCACTTAGGCAAGGCTTTGGGAAGGAGGTGGCATGTCAAGAGGTCCTTCTACGAAAAGGAAAAAATCGGTTTCGGAAATGAGGCGGGCATCTGCTCTCTGCTGCCCCACCTTCTCCTGCCCTTCTCCTGTGAGGGTGCCCCATTTCCTCTTTGGTCACCACCTCACGCCTCTGTCACCCACAGCTGTGGGTGGTCTGACTTCCTTCTGCTGCAGAAGTGGGAGTGCACCTCACACCTGCCCCCCCCACCCCCCACCCCCCTATCTGCAGGGACGACAGGGAACTAAATAGGACTGTTGAAGTACCAGCGACTTTCCAGGACCAGTGGAGGGGCCAGCCATTCTCTTTCCTGCTGAATTTGAACACAGAAGGCACTTCAAGGCTGGAGGTGATGTGGCCCCCCTGCCACCACTAGAGGAGGGCCGGGATCGCAGTGGGGATGCTCTGGGGAACCCCAGGCCCTGGGGAAATTGCATGAGCTCCTGGGTCGAGCTGCGTGTAAAGTCAGCCTCATCCCTGGACCTTTCAGATTGTGAAAGCCAGTAAGTTCTATTTTTACTTCTGCCAATTTGGGCTGGGTTTTCCGTCACTGGGAACTAAGAAGGTTCTCAGCCGATTCTGGGAAAGCGGACAGATTGGTTGGCGCCTCGCTCCTAACGCTCCACCTTGAAAAAGCAAGGTTAGTGAGCAGCGCCACCGTGTCGACCGCTCGGGCCCCCCTTTGGAACACACAGATTGCTGGAAATGAAATCGCCTGCGCCGCGGATCGTTTTCCCTCTGCTCCAGGCCCACGCCCGCCGTTACCTCCGCCCCACCCCGGTTCTACTCCGCAAAGGAGTCAGGTGGACAGTCAGAATTCCGGGGCCTGTCTGGTGGCAGATCCCAGCACATGAATCTCGGATGTACTAAGTGTCCTAAGGGAACAGGGACACAACCCAGGGCGAGGCAGTGGCTTGGGCTCACACCCTGGGGGGACCTCATGCACTCCCCAAAGATGCCCAGCTCACGCTTGCACTGAGCACACAGCCGCGTACTACCCGTTGGGGCTGTCCCAGGCAGTAGGCAGGTTAGAGTCCTCACGGACACCAGCACACCCTGTGGCTGTTGCTATAAAGAGGGTGTGTCGAGGCACAGAGCGAGGGGACAGCGACCAGGTTGGTTTGGAGGGGAAGGCCTTTAGCGTACAGGTGCGGGGAAAAGCGGAAGGGGAGGGAAGGGGAAAGAAGGAGAAGGAGGGGAGGGGAGG